GTGTAGTGCCTAAGGCACTTGACTACTAACCAGAAGGCTGGTGGTTCAAACCCACCAGCCACACTCCCCAGCCGGAAGTTTGAGCAATCTACTTCCATAGTGATACTGCCTCAGAAACCCAAGGAGGAGTTGCTACGGGTCAGGTCCGCCTCCACGGCAATGGTTGCCTTTTGCCTTTATATATCTATATAGATAGGTAGATAGATAGATAGATAGATAGATAGATAGATAGATAGATAGATATATTAGAGTCCTTCTTGTGACAGTGGAATCCAATAAGGTATGTATTCACCTCTCCGTTAACATTATGCTTTAGGGTAAATTGAAATAACCTGTTAGGCTGTAAAGTAATGTCAACTGCATTTTTGAAATAAAACCCTTAAGCCTCCACAACTGGGTCTGGAAAGAGAATTTAAAAACAGAGAAAGATGACTGAACAAGAGTCTCTAAATTTGTCATCTGATCCTATAAAAAAATTTTCCCTTATGTTGCTTCCTTTAAGTTACTGCAACCACTACTTATCTGACCAACACTAACAAATCTTATCCCATGTTTTCTGTTCTCTATTTAATGCTGTCTTCAATGAACCAAAAATAAATTCTTAAGATGAAATAATTTTGAGATTTCATAGGATTAAATACCAAAAAAAGAAGAAGAAATGCAGATAAATTAAAATCAATATAAGAAATTGCCTTAGAATTGCTGAATTTGGATTTCCTTATTCTGTTTCTAAAGCTGTGTCCCGGGCAAAAGGTGGTATGTTATTTTAGTGACTATTCTGAGATAGTTACACTCTAGTCTCGAGGTCTTTTCACGAACTACCGGGTCACTGCTACATGCGGTAATCATTTTACATGGGAAAAAACTAAGTCACATGGATTTATGGGATTCAAACCCATGCTTCTGGCTTAAATATCTGTGCCCTTAGGCACCATAATCTAAGTGGATAACATTATCATACTCAACACCCAGAAGTGTTCCTTAATATATTTGTTTTACAGACAGTGAAAGTTGGTTTGCCTCTCTGATACTACGTATTACTGTTACTTTTCTCAGTATGAATATATCTCTTTCCCATTTGACTTATGTGAAATACCTAAGCATTGGGAAGTGCCTTTACTCTTTCAGGCTCATGAGGACAACATACAACATTATTCAGCTAGGAGAAAAAATCACATACATTCCATACAGTTAATAAGTTTATCTTTTCAGAGAAGAAATCTTGTCAGTAGCCCAGTAGCAGAGAGAATAGAGAGAATGAAAGAGAGCAATTTTCCTATATGGATAAATCAAACGGATGATTATGTATAGAATATGTGCTTAAGGAAATAACTAAAATTATTTCTATAATATCTAGTTTTTCTTTAAAAATCTCCTTCTATTTTTACACATAAACTTTTGTTTTTTTTCCATTTTGAGTTCATTACATATTCTGGTATGCATTAAAATAAATGAGAGATTACTCTGTTTTAACATAAAGTTTGTGGATTTCTTTTCTTTATAGTTACAATTGGATAATACTCCATCATACACTTGGTATTTAGAAATTCATGTTGTGGTTGAAAAGCAATTGGTAAGTTTATTTTTATTTTTTGATATTGTATTAACTTTGAAAGGTGTTAAAAATAATATGGCATGTTTTCTTCTGTACAATATAGTGATGATTTTAAAATTGGCTCAGTTTTTTTTTTTTTTTTT